AGTTAAAAGAATAACACATTGCTGTAAAAAAAACACATTGCGGCTAACATACATCAAAGGAGAGACGGGCTTATACTTGCATGGCTATATGGAACCATTAGTAATAAATCTACCTTTATGAATAGATCATAATAATTTGCTTTAAATAGAAAGCTTCATTACACGATCGCTTAAGGAATTTCTCACAATCAAGAGTTACTAGTGACAAATGGAGGATAAAAGTTTTACGTGATATTTATTTTCAATATTTCTGCCGAACTTAATTGGTTAGGCATTTTTGTTTGATCGTGCCGGAAATTGAAGTAATGAAGAATGGAATTGTAAAAAAGGAACAAAACAAAAACATTAAAACATGTTTTTCAACTATTATATGCTCTTTATCGGTTATTTAAAAAAATATATTGATTTTCCAATTATAAAATGTTTAAGTCCGATATTCTTAACTATCACCAAGTTTTTTTTTCTATCTACTATTTTCCTTAACGATTATTCCACTTTTCCTTTAAAATGAAAAAAAATGATTTAATACAATAATTTAATTAAATTTGATCAATTTTTATATATATTTTTTCTAATAAATTTTCCAAATATCTGTAAGAAATTATATATAATTAATATAAATTAATATAAAAATTCTTATAATAAACATTAATATTTTTGATAATTTTTTTTTTTCATTTTACATTTTTTACGATTTAAATTTATGAGGGAAAAGAGCGAGTTCAAAATTATTCTCACGAAGAAAATAATGTGGGTTGGCTTGGTGTCAATAAGGTATAGTTATAATAATAATACTATAATAATTCAATATTATATATAAAGACACATAATATATAATAATAAATTTTTGGATCAATGTAATGAAAATTTTCAAATTTTTATTTTTACCTAACATTATATTGCTAATTTTCATTTTATTGGTGATTTTTTTTATTAATATTAATATTAATATTATGGGATACCGATAAAAAAAAATCTTAAAATTTATGATTTTTTTTTAAGAATGATTTTTATAGGATAATATATAAAAAAAAATATTTTTAAATCATAATATTAAAAGCAATCACCTTTATACATTTTTTTTTAAAAATATATTATTCTAATAGAATTGTTTATTGAATAGATTCATAGGGGTGCCTTTTATATGTGGTAATAATATTTCGATTTAAAACATAAAACATAAACGGAACGAAAATTTATTGTTGCCGATTGGGGTCTAAATGATTTGTTTTACTATGGGTATTTACTTTTAGATTAAAAATAATAATGTGTTAGTTTGTCAGAAATCCTATAATTGTTCTTTAACATTTATATAAGTTATATCTAGCATAAAAAATAACTGTCGCTCGAGCTTTTTAAAAAAAAGTATCGAAAAACTATATATTACATAAACTCAGATCTAACTTAGTAAATTATAGCTACCTAAATTTTTTGAATGTTTTATGATTTATTTAAAATTTTACATTTTTCTTCCTTTTATTATATATCTTTTTTTTGAGTGTTTATAATTGAATTTTTCTCTTGTTAGGCTACCTTTTGCGTTTGCCACCCATTTTTTACTTTGCAAGATTAACGAATAAATTTGTGCAACTTGAGATCAATATATTTATACTCACGTCAATTTCACTCGTCACGCATCAGTTAATAAATTAATAGCACTTTCATATGCAAGTAGAATATACCTTTATTATTACTTTTTTACTAAATTTAAAGGATATTGGTTTTTCAGTTTGTAATGCCCTAAATCAATTTAATATTCGTTTTATATTTTATGTTTATTTATAACTGGAATTTTTAAATATGCCAGATCAAGGATTGTCCTTAGTCATAAAATAACTTTACCCCCCCCCCCCCAAAGTGGTATAATCTTGTACAATATCCTCAAACTATTAGCACAACGCAGAACCAATTTATTATCATAGACACCTCGTCTATAATAATATGTTTGACAATTTAATATTCATTTAAGAAGATTTCAAATTTTATCGTGATATAGGAATGTTCAATAGTATCGGTTAATTTGATTACGACTATGGATCTTGTAGTAAATTAAATATCATATTTATAATTGATTGATTTTACACATATATATATATATTTTATTATTGATATAATGAAAATATATATATGAATGATTATAATGTAGGATCTTGTAGTAAATTAAATATTATATTTATAATTAATTGATTGATCTTACATATATATATTTTATTTTTGATATAATGAAAATATATATATGAATGTTTATAATGTAATATTATATGAATCACTCTATTCGTTAATTTTATATGTTTTATAATGATTATATATTTATGTATGGTTAGCTACCTAGCAGATATAAGAGATATTATACATTATCCATATTTATTATTGCTTCTGTTTAATTTAGTGTGGACGTTTTATCGATTGGTTTTATGTGATATTTATATGTGCCTATGCTTATGTGATTACTAATATCTATGAATAACGAATAAATGATTTATATAATAGGAATATTACTACTTATTATAGATAGTTCTACCAGCAGAAAGTAGGATTGAAGAATGCCAATTTTTTCCAAGTTATGATAATGATCATATAAAATAAAATAATATAAATCATCTTAAATATGATTAAAAATTCCATATCTAAAAGCTCGGTCTAACTTGATGTGTTGCACATTAAATAAATATTGATTTGATTTTATGATCATTTCTAGTTTTCTATTTCCGGTTTTTGAAACTAAAAAATTTTAAACAATATTTTAACATTATCTTACTTTAAAAAGCTTACCCCTTATGATATATAAAGAAATTTAAATGAGGCTTCTATCCTAATTGTAAGCAAAGATTTCTAAAATGAAAGCGAGTGCATTTTACCCAAAATTTCGACATTTAGAGGCCCATATCTCATCCGTTGTTTTGAAATTTGAGGCTAAATTTTTTTTCTTCTTCTTAGTTTTATAAAATATAAAAGCTATTGTAAAAATTTGGCTGGAAATTAGACTTTTTATTGATTTATCATGAAATTCGCCCTAGTTTACACTATTTTAAAATTGAACTGTGAACCTTTTTTAATCAATAAATCTGTCAATTCTATAAAATAATTCAATAAAACTTTATAGGTTGAGAGAGAGATAAATTATTTTTTTTGACATTTTTTTCAAATTCTATCAGCAGGATTCAAACAACAAAATTTGAACTTTCTAGCCTTTAAAAATTCATTTATTTATTTTTTTATTAAACTAACTTTACATTTAAGCAGACGATAATAATAATTTTTTAAAGTTTTTCAATAAAGATGATTTAAGCTTAATTAAAATTTTTAAAAATTAAAAACATTATAGAAGCAAAAAGGTTTTTTGAGGGAGTTTTCTAACAGGAACTGGCCTAACGCAGCTTTGAATCGATTGATTGCAAAAATTGATGCTACCCGATCAGCAGAAAAACATCATGGCGGTGGTACATCGCGCACAGCTGATATTATGGGAATGTTTATTTAGTCAAAACACTCGTATTTAACTAAGAATACAGACCAGACTCTCACAGAACAATTCTCCTTATCCCAGGAAACGGGTGTTTCTTAAATTTCATTTCTCCGGATTATCCACAATGAGCTCTGAAATATTAAAAAAGAAACAAGTCTAAGACCTACCGATGCGAATGCTATTGCTCCTTTGCTACATGGCAAACAATTTCTACAAAAATACCCTCAATGGTTAGTTCATTTCACATGTATCACAGATTTCGCACGACGTATTCGGTAAATATATATCTAAGCGAATATCAAAATATTTAGTTATAGTTAAATATATCCAAGTTCTTAAAAATCCGTTCCTACTAAAAATTCCGGATGACCGACGGATAAGTTAAAACGCCAAAAATTAAATTTACGCATTTTTATTTACTTGTAAAATTCCAAGTCAAATTTTCTTTCGACTTATTTTATATCTCGGATTTATCGTTCTATATATTATTTAAATAAATTAATAACTCTTTCATATCTCCTCCCAAATGTTTAAGAGTAAATACAACTAAAAAAATGGGAGTTACCCCCCCCCCCATCAATACATTACCATGAAAATGCATTCAATACTAAATTTCTAAGAGGCCATATCATTTGCCTAGAATCATACCGACTTCAGTCTGATGATAGACTCAGTGACACAAATGATTTCACTATCTAGACCTTGGGAATCATTTATCAGATAAGTAATTGAGTTATTGATTTAATTTAAGATGGAGGATGATAATTTGGCGTTAAACGTAATATCTGTAGATAAGTAATCATTGCCTTAATTTTTAGTGTAACCAAGATCGCCATCAATAGCATGTACCTATATAACTTATATAGCCGCCCATATATTTATGTTTTATGAGTTAACATAATATAAAAGACAATACTGACAATCTGAGGCAAATCTTTGGGATTAGGGGAAGTAGCCAATCACATCTTAATCATCGTTTTCATCGAGATTTGATGCTAATTTCTATGGAGTAGGGAAATCTCATCTTGCTTGGCTATGCATATAATCAACGACTTTCGAATGAATGCTTAGTCATATTACTGGAATTATAATTAACGAAATGGGTACTCTTTATTTTACAAAAATTATTGTTTAAATATAAAAATAGATACAAAATTAATTATGTGATTGTACTCAAAAAAGGGGAGGGGGGAGGGAGCGGCCCAATCTTAAGATTCAAGGCCAAGATATAATTATCCAAGCCTCGAGATTCGGCAACTAATCCAAACCATTTCTGGTCTTAAGGCTTACCTAATATTACCTTGTTCATAATCTTAATAGGACTGTTTCTAAAAATCGACCCGAATCTGGCTTTTTTAACAACACTAGTTGATTACATTTAAATAGCCGACACTAATGCCTTCCGATGTCTTAAAAAGTGTTTATAAAATATTTAACTATATAAATCTTTATATAATAATTTATTTGGGCATAATTTTCTTTGTAATATACACATATATATATATATATCCATACTCGAATAGAACAAATAAAAAAAATAATTAATCTAAATATCCGTTTAATATTAATTACATCTTTTAAGGATAAATCATAAATAAAAATATAAAAAAATTTGGCTAAGATTGGTGTTGTTTAAAAATTTTAAATAAGACTAACTAAGATATTATACAAATTAGACCACCAAAAATTAAGGACATTTCCCCCCCCCCTATAAAATGAGAGTCAGATGATAACCCAAAATGGCGGCGTAAATAGTGTAAACCAATTCAATCGCAAAAATTTGGCTTCCTCCGCTGTCATCATTTTCTAACTCAGCGGCGGAATCATTGTTATCAACTTTATTGATAATTCCTGTTCTATTATTTTTGGCGCGAGAGGCGGTAGAATTGGTTGCGCCGGGAGGCACGTAGATCACGATTTGATTGGCATCATAAGTTGTAAAGTTTTTAGGATCCACGTTGATCATGTTGTTGCACAGCTCGGTGGCGCATGTCTGATAGCACACCAATTGACGTCCATCGTGGGCTTTAACGCATTTGTTGCCGAAACTCTTGTTTTCACAACCACGTGACACAAAGGTTATCTCTCCTAGATGGAAAAAAAGTAATTTGTAAATAATTCCCAATTAAATTGTCCTCTTCTCGAAATAGCCAACCGATATCTCCTCCAAGAAAAACGAACCTTCTTTAAAATTATTTTCAGGCCTACATATTTATTTGAGGGTCAAATATATAATAGACCATTTTATCTAAGTCGGATCCGGGTAAAAAAGGTGGTCATATTCTGAAATATTCTAGCTTCCGAACAGCTGAGTATTTAATGTATATTTTTAGGACACAAACAGACTTTACTTACATGCACTCTAAATAATATATTTTCTAGAATTGATTCCCTCGATTCAACCACATCCTCAAATTATTCAAAAGCCTATAACGATACCTTCGATAATATCCCATTGGGTATAGCAATACGTTCGGTTGCACATCAATTTTTTCGGTCCCACATCCACGTTCTCTGGATCTAACTGGCATTTGGATTGTGGTCTATTGTCGGTACATATATAACACGATAAAGAGGACGCTTTTTAGAAAAAAATTTATTTATTTTGGATTCAATAAAGTTATATATATAAAAAAACATATATAATTGAATGCCAAACAGCCGTGGTTCTGATTTTTCATAATTTGAGCTGGTGTTTTTTATTAAAGTATATTCCAAACTTTATGGGTTTTAAGTTTATAACTTGGTTTTTTTTAACCCCAAAAAATATAATATTTTTTAAAATTAAAATATTTTATACCTAAACTTCCCAAAGAATCGTATAATATTATAAAAGACAACAGAACAATCGCGCGCGAATTCCGGGCTCGGCTACTCTTGATCTTATTAATTCTCGATGATTCGAAAAGCATATGTAAAGTATTAATAAAGAAATCGAAACAAAATGATATACTATTCAAAAATGTTTTTTATTTGTCTCTTCAAAGTTGGCATTTTTTTTAATTGTTTACTTTCTATTTATTTATCTTATCTTTTTTTTTATTCTTTTTTTATTTAAAAAAGTTTGTAAATCTTCTCTTTCCTTTTTTAAAAAAAGTATTTGAGAGAAATTTATTAGACAAAAAAAGAAAAATGGCTTAAAGGTTAAAAAAATACGTTTCTAATTGTTTTTTTTAAATCATAATTATGCAATCAAAAATTAGAATAGTCGCTGAAAAAACCTTTTAAAAAAACTTAAATTTAATTTTTTTTTGTTTAAATATATTATTTTTAAATGTCAGGGTAAATTGAACTTTCATTGGAACATTTATTTGTGTGTGTGTTTTTTTATTTCACAAAAAAAAACAAACAAACAAAAGAGGATCTCATTTATAAAAAAAAACGTGCGACACCTTTTAAAGTAAGATAGATTGGGGGTTAAAAAGATATTTCAGCTAATAATAGTATATATTATGTTAATATGAATGATACATATAATTATATATATATTTATAATAAGGTTAACTTTAAAATAATATGATAAAATTATGGGAAATTTTGTATCTTTATAAAGGGGAAATACTAAGGATAGTTAGTGATTAAGCTCAAGGTTATAAAACACACAAAAAAAATATATCTTATCAAAATATAACGTAATTGAAATGAGATAGGTGACTGGCCCCTAAATATAAAATCTGCCCAACCAATCCTCTTATATTCTTTTTTAATAAATTAGATATTTATTTAAAATTTTATATTTATTATAATAATAGATAATGAATATATCAACGTGTAAATAAAATCTATATTAAAATGGGACAAAAGGAATATGTGTGAAAAATTTAAAAAATAACAAGGAAGACCGGGGATGGTATAAAGCGAGGGAAAAAAAATAAGAAGTAGAAAGGGTCTAGGATATCTCTTTGATTAGTAGACTATCATTGAAGCTAATGTAATTGGTTTTAAGGATTGCTATGTGTCGAAGAAAAAACCCCTCTAGAGGTCCTCCTGAGTGTTTGCTGATTTGAGATATAAATTATTGTTTGTTTTTTTTAAAAAACTAAATCTATATACAAAAATTACAATTATAAAAAGTTTATTGTAATAAAAATTTCAAATAATAGCTATCTTGTTTGTAATATTATATGCTGAATAATTTTTATGAAGCATTTCCTAAAATTTATACATAATTCCCTTCTGTTTAATTTCGAGAGAATTTCAATTCCATTTTCGTTTAAACTTCGAGTGTTAAAATCTGTTTTTCATTTTTTTTTAACTTGAGAAGGTTGAAGCAATTTTCCTTTTTTTGTATTATTTTCTCATTATTTTTGATAACTATTTGGTAGTATAAGATAAAAAAAGGAAATAATAAATATTTATTTCATTTTTTTTCATTACAAATTTTATTTACACATTAATAATAGTATTATAAAGGTTATGTTACATATAATATACAATAAACAATATACATATATTAGTAATAAGGAAAAAAAACAAAGATGAAATAAAAAGAGGGCAGAGGAACGAGCACAAAAAGTATTGAAGTTAAAACTAATCATCTTGTAGATGAAGCTAATGTAATTAGCCGTATCGCTACTGTTAGTCTTTGTCTTAAGAAGAAGCCTTCGCGAGGTTCATGCGTAAGTTTGCATATGTGAGAGCCAAGCTCCTTGAAAAACGATAAAGCACATTTCCCAAAAGTTGTATTGGTTAAATGAATATGTATTCTTAAGAAATTTCGGAATATTTAATTATTTTAAGTGACTCCTTTTCCCAAGAATGTTAAGGGTTGATTGGATGGTGCAGATGGATCAATACAAGAGTAATCCTAGACCAAATTAACCATGCTTCTAAGGAATTTAAGGAAGCCCGTCAGGCCGTTTCCCATCAGATCTGAAAGACCGGAAGGTTCAAGAATAGAGAGAATTTGAGCAGATCCCAAAGCTCTAAGGATGATTGAATTGCATAGATTATGTCTAACGAAACGACCTACGAATGGCAGTGGATGCTATGTCTTACATTACCCAGAAGGGCTGAACTGCATCCTGAACAAGTGTGGGGGTTGGTTATTAGGCAGTTTAAACGTATACCAATCGGGTGAGTGAGCTGCGTTTTGGTTCAGTTGTAATTGCAAATTAATTGAGGAAATAGCTTCAAGGAACTCATGGCCTGAACCATTATCAAGTGAGGAGAATAAAGGACGTTCAGATATTTGCATTCTGGAAAGGAGATTCCGGAGATTGCTATAGGCCTATCCCAGTCCTGCTTATTCGTTTCAGGAAGAGGGTGATCAGTAATAATTCGTTCTTTTCACTCGATGATAGCATCATTATAAGAAGAGTTGAGTTTAATCAAATTAGAATTTACTATATTTTTTGTTAAAAGACAACTGGATATGAAAGCTGTAAAGGCGATTGGGTGGAGATATGATACCAAGTCCTCCCATCTTAGTAGGTAAAGAGGCTTGTGTGCAATTTCATTGAATTTAAGGTTTACAATATTTTCGATTAAGACATTAATCCCATTTTCACAAAACTCCAAGAGGAATGGGGAATTTAAAAATGGGATTTGATGGAAGAGCATAAAGAATACGAGGAATATTGAAAAAATTTTTCAAGAGGAAAAAAGCTTTATGGGAGGGGAGAAGGGAAATAAAACAGCCAACTTAAAAAGTGCTTCAAGTGTGGACTGAAGAAAGGTAGATATTTCAGTGTTACCACCAACAGGGGCACCTAAATGATACAGTTCATCAAGGGTTGTTAATTAAGTTCTTTGAATTTGATACGATTAAATTGATATGGATGAATTCAGATTTCTCAGGGTTGATAGAGAGTCCAATAGCAAACCCAGCTGCCTTGATCAAATTCACAGCTTTATTCACCTCACCATTGGAACCACCAAATAATCAATATACCAAGCATGAAAAGATAATGAGAAAGTCGTGTTAATGGATTTCATAATGTCATTACCTACAGAAAAATAGGGAACCTAGAGGATCTCCCTGTTGTATGCCCTCAATGAAAGGAATTTCAAATTGCAGGGTGGAAGGCAGTTGTTAACATGATTGAAAGAATTTTGTTTAAACAGGGAAAAGAGTACTAGAGGAACACAGGAATAAATTTTGGGAGAGTGTATTGTAGGCATTAGAGAAGTCTATTTTGACTAAAGATTCATTGGAGGGTAGATTTTCTAAATGTAATCTAGTCATATGTACAACCGCTTCACAGCCACCGGGGATCCCAACACCAAGTTAGAAGGGGCTTAAGAGACGTGAAGCATCGTGCTATACTCAAGATGATATCATTTTGACAACTAAGCAACGATGGGCTTTTGAAGAGCTATTAGCCTAGCACCAAAGAGGATAGGTTAAACAAAGCTTGGTTTCCCTTTTTAAAATTTTATTGCAGAGGTTTGTTAATTTAGAAAGAATGGGAGTTTGTGAGCATGTAGAGAGGGAAGTGATGTCCTGGAGAAAAATAGGGCGGATGCCATCAAGACCATGGGCATAATCACGATTAAAGAAAAGGATAGCTTTTCTCACTTCTTCTGAAGTAAAAAGAGAAAAGTTGAGTGAGGTTGAGGGATAATTGGGATAATGTTTGCTGTGGGGTGTTTTTGACAGAGCTTTATATAAGTGGTCATGTAAGGCTCAGCCAGAGAGCCATGCGTGGACACCAATCTGAGTCCACCTTTTATATTAAGATTGTCAATTTTCTTGCAAATCGATTGACCTTCATCTCAATTGATGAGTGTTTTCTTTTATTATAACAGGCAATGACATTTTGTATTCAGGAAAATGAGGAGTCTTAATCGAAGCAGCATCCTTGATTAGCTGGGTAAGGGATTTATGTGACGTTTTGTCAGGCACCCTGAATTAATATATCCACAGAATAGGAATTTTAGCCATTCCTTCTCATTGCAAAGTTTAGCAATAGGGAGGATAGACAAGCGAAAGATTTAGCAACTACCAATCTTGCACTTGCACCTTTGTGGATCCTTGAAATGATATTTGATTTGGGATGGTAAAAAAATCTGAGAAACTGGAATTTGAATTGTGAAAAGGTGGAACAGAATTTTCTGGAGGGATAATTGATTAATTGATAAGGGACAGAGGAACAAAGTCAGAATATAGACATCTGAATGAAGGAGGTCCATGAACTTCAACCATCTTTTCTAATATGTACTAATTTTTGACATGAGGGATAGATTTGTGAAGAAAACATGAAGATAATGATAAATTAATGATTCATGTAGTTGAAATAATAAATTTAATTTCATAAATAAATAAAAGAACTCCAAAACATTTTTAAATAATGAAATTATATCAGAATATTTTTGAATAAATTCATAAATAAAAATAAAAGTAAGAATTCCAAAATATTTTTGAATATTAAAATTATATCAGAAAATTTTGTTGAATAAAATAATCCTAAATTATTGGCAACAATTTACTTATATAAATAAGAATGATCTAAATCTAATTTGAATAAAGATATTATAATTGGAATTTTGTTAAATAAATACAACTTGAGGATTACATTTTAACATATGCAGATATAATAATAAATAAATGATTCATATTGTAAATATAATAGATTTGATTTCAAGTATAGATACGTCTACATAACAGGATTTTCACTGGATGCAAACCCCCTTCAAAAACCTTTGCCTACCCCTCTAAAAAATTTGCGTCGCCTTCGGAGGCGGTGTCTCCTTATTATTATATCCACCTTTTTAATTTATTGGTATTCTTTTCAGAGAATTTATAAAGGATAACTTAAATGAATCTATCTCTACTACCAACTATCGATATTTTGTGAATATTGAATTTATTTTTTAGATAATAAATTCATTTAATACCTCCTTTTACAATGAATTAATTATTATGGCATTATGGATGAAATATCTAAACCTTTTGAATTACATTTAAAAGGATAGCACAACGTTTTATTTGGAAAACAATGTATATGATTGTTTGCA